GTACAGCATTGTCATGGGAAGGCTTAATGGGCCAGTTCATCGAAAACTTAAAGTTTACTTAACATTTAATCAACCTCAAGTGGTTATAAACATTTTTGAGATTTTTTTCCTCTGTTAAAAGCAAAAAAGACAGCGTGGTCGCTAAGTGGTTAGCACTGTGACCTAACAGCTAGTTTGTTGGTTCAAATCCCGGTGTCCAGGAGGCATTTCTGTGTAGAGTTTGCATGTTCTCCATGTTTTCGCATGGGTTTTCTCCGGGTGCTCTGGGTTTTCCCCCACAGTCCAAAGACATGGGTCTGGATGCAGACTTGCAAAATGAGCTACATACAATGCTTTTATATGCTCACACCTAACCATAGTCCTCACAGTGAGGTCATTAGCTCCACTGAGTGCATTGTGTCTGATGTTGCAAGTCTGAGATATGCAGTCTCAGCTTGCAAATCCAAGTCTGCATCCAGAAGTTATTGAAGACATGTAAAATAGGTTAATTGGATAAACAAAATTGGCCGTAATGTGTGATTGGGAGTGTGTGTGTGTGTGTGTGTGTGTGTGTGTGTGTGTGTGTGTGTGTGTGTGTGGTTGAGGCTGGAATGGCATCTGCTGTATAAAACAAATGCCAAAGTAATTGGTTTATAGTTGTTTAGTAGTTTAGTCTACTGTGGCCACCCCTGGTAAAGCAGGGAAAAATCTGAAGGAAAGTGATTGAGTGAGCGGCTACCAATGTTTTTAAAATATCTACTTTTTTGTTCAAAAGTCAACTAAAACAGGTTTGGAACCAGTGGAGGATGAGTAAATGTAATAATTTTGATTTGAGGACTATCCCTTTAAGAGATAATTTACCTCTTCTTCTCTACAACATGACAGTCAAATCACTCAATCTTTCTAAGCAAATGTCATCACTCAGATTAGGGTGACAGGAAAAACAAGCCCTTTTTTGTCAAACAGTGTTCTGCTTTATCTCTATTAGCAGAAATACATGTTTATAGGGAATTTAAGCCAAAACAAGAGTCCAAAAGATAGATGCACTTTGAAGTCGAAACATATTTTAAGAGTCAGATTAAGATGTGATTTTAAACTGAATGCCAACCAAGAATCGGTTTCACAATCAATGGTAGCTGTTGGAGGCATATTGCTTTTTCAGGGGTGTTGTGTTTCTTGGAGTGAAGGAAATTCAAGCAATTTTGTCAAGAAAACTCTATGAAAAAATTATTGTTTTTTTATAGATTGATATTTTATAGTCTATTCAGCCCTATCAATTCAATTGGCTAAAGTTAAAACCCCCAACCATTCTATTCTGTTCTTATCTATCCTAATGGTTCCTTTGAGCATTACTTTAATTGGATGAGAAACAAAACACACGTTTTACATATTTAAAGAACAGCTTTGCATAATGAAATCGTTGATATAAGCACTTAATACAAACATTTGAAGAACAGTGAACTACATATTATGCACATATGCCCTTATATAATCAGATACACTACAATTATTTGAAAATGGTTTTTCTTGTTTATGGTTATGCCTCAGTTGAAGAGATGCCCTTTTGGTTCCACAAAGAATCATTTAATAAGTTGTTTAAAAAATTTTTTTTTCCTAATGTAAACCTTTTTTGTCCACAGAGTAGAACATTTTATTCAGCAAACGGTTCAACGGTTCTTCATCATTCTTTATAAAAAACAAAGTCAGTTAAGGAAACCGAAGTATGTAGACCAAGAATATACAATTGAAGTCAGAATTATTAGCCCACCTTTGAATTTTCTTTTCTTTTTTAAATATTTTCCAAATTATGTTTAACAGAGCAAGGAGTTTTCACAGTATGTCTGTTGAAACGCCAACTGACCTTAGGCTCGAACCAGCGACCCCGCAACCTTCTTGCTGTGAGGCGACAGCACTACCCACTGCACCACCAATGAAAACAACACTTCTTATTTCGACCTTAAATAACTTCTGCTCAATAATAAACCTCTTTAGCACAATACCTTTGCACAATATCCTGCACAACATTTTTCAGTCTCATGTTAAAGTACTTGTATAGATTGTCTTATGTGTATAGTTAAGTATCTTATAGTATATGTTAGTTATGCATAGTTTTTTAAATATCTCTTTTGTCTATAGTTGTTTTTATTTAATTTATGTAGCACCGTTGTCCTGCATGACATGACATTTCATCCCTCTGGATGTCCACACATGTAGCAAAAAGACAATAAAGCTCACTTTGACTTGATGACAATGAATGACAATGACAATAAAGTTCATCCCAAAAAAAATATTTAAATCTTTGACCCTGCAAAAAAAAGGATGTGTGTAAATAATAAAAACACATGTTAAAAACACACTAAATGTAAAACATGTCCAAAAACACACCACACGTTTCATTTTTTTTAGACACAATTAACAATACAGAATGCTTTATTTATTAGTTTTGGGTAATATATGCTCTACTGAGGCAATAACTTAACGGTCACATCATGTAGTCTATACCAACAGTTCTATATTTTTACAACAGAGATTGTAATGTTGCACAAAGTCATACAAATCTTGAAAGATGGAGAAAATACAAATCGATTATTTCATAAAACAGTTTACTCTAAATTCTCTGATAAGAGATTTGCACACACAAACTGTCCCACAAAGGTGGGCATCTGTTTAACAATAACAAAAACAAGTATTCTCAGAAAATCTGTGAATATGACATCATGCAGATTTAGAGATCTGACATTCCATGTAAACACAAACACCGTTCTGATGCGCTTGAACACAGTGATTATTACCGTACATCACAGAATTTACACTTGAACAACATCATCATCATCAAGAGATTATCACACCTTAGCCATCTGAATTGATTATCTGGCCTGTAAATATACACATCTTCTGATATATCTTAAAATAAATTTCAGAATGTGTCAAATAGAAATTCATACTCTTCCCAAAGCCTGTTCCTCAAAACCAGTGTGTTATAAACCAGAACAAAACAACAACAGACCTTACAAATGAAGGTTACGATTCCAATTTTTCTTGTTCAAGAAGTCATCTTACATACATGATCTTTGCCCCTTGGTAAATGAAAATAAGCTACAGTACAGGAAACAGAAATATTTCCAATTCACTACAGACGAAATAGAAGTGGTTGTAGGTCAGAGGTCATGGCTGTTAAACTATAATCACAATATTGTGCAGATTTGTTGTCTTAGAGGTGCTGTGCTGCATTTGGTGTCAGTGCAAACACCGGATGTCTCACTGATATTCTGACAAAAGTGTTGTAGCAATGTTAGAATGCAGACAAATGCGATTCAATACGTGTTTGGTATGTATCCACCCATGTATACATATATCATACATTTGATTGTTTATTATAAATGTGCTAGAATTTCAAAAAGGGATTAATCCTTATTAAAAGCAATTGATAAGAAAGAAACTAAGCCACAAAATATAAAACAACCAATTAGATAAAGTGCAGAATCTGGCATGATCCTCGTCATTTATCATATCTTCTAACATGAATACTCAAGTCTGTAAAAAGATTGTACAAGATCCACATAAGGACAGTTTGAAATGTTTAACGTGAAGATGACTTAAAGTGGCTTAATGGATGAAAATGCACATCAGTGTCCATCTGCTTGCCTGTACATAGCTTCTGCTTTTAAAGAGCCCCTATTATGCATTATAAAAGCTCATATTTTCGTTTTGGGGGTCTCCAACAACAGGCTGATATGCATCATTGTCAAAAAACACTTTCATTGTCTTATAATAATTCCAAACTGCTCCTTTGTTTTAGGCTAATATGATCTGCTTCTGAGTCTTTTGTGATTAGTCAACTGGGTTTAGCGGGAGACAGAGAGAAATGCAGGAATGCATGAACGCAATGTAGTTAAACATCAGCATGTTACTCTGCTCTTAATACTAACCCCAAGTAATACTGACACACATTCAGTATTAATTCACACAGTGGCAAAAGTTCAACTACTTGTTGAAATAGCATCATGAAGGTTTAACGATAAGTGATTACATGCCACGCGGAGCGATTACAAGTTACAACACACAAATACTGCACGTATTATGATAAATCTAAATTTAAAAAAATATTTGACTGTTTTTCTTCTCTTAGAATGGTTTAACTTGAAGTGCTGTAAAATAAATAAATAAATAAATAAATAAATAAATAAATAAATAAATAAATAAATAAATAAATAAATAAATAAATAAAAACTTTACTTTAAGATATGTTGCCATATGGAAACAATGTCCAACAGTGGATCTAACTTAAACATTTTAAATTTAGAATTTTCCTTATATTTAAAAATTTATTTGTTTGAAATGATTTCATTGGTGTTGCAGTATTAAAAGATTTAAATAAGATTTAACTTATAAATGACATCTTATACATACTTTCCAACAACTGATATTTAAACAGCTTTCATTTATTCCATTCTTTTTTTTTTGTTGAACATTATTGAAAACAATCATAATATTGTATTATCATGTATACAACAGTAAATATAAATATTTTCTCCAGTGAATAAAGTAAATCAATAACAAGTCTAATATATCCAGATGCATCAGAATAATTTAGCTTCTAGCTAACAATGTTACTTACTTGAACTGTCTCCATCACTGATCTTATCAAATGCCCAATCTGCATCATTCTCATATCACTAAAACCCATCTCATCCTCATTTTCATCTGCAGGAAAAGCCAGTTCTCTCCTTTTCTTCTTTCACTTACTATAGAACATGGTGGTCCTCACTAATACACTGTTCCCTGTGCTCAAATCTATTCAAAAGTAGTATTGCCATTAAAATGATTTTATCCATAATGCAAATGCCATTAACACATGACTAATCAACATTACATTACTAGCTTTCATGTTGTTACTTGTACACTTTGCTAGCCAGCTAACTTATTGCAGTATTGCATGTTCCACTATTGCACAGTGTTAACATTTGGCAGCACACACATTTAATTGATTTACAAAAAACCTTATTTGATAAAAAAATAAAAATTGAGTTGTGAATATGTCATTATAACTTACTAGAGGTGATGTCTCAGATTTTTTTTGTGGATCTGACATAATTTGATCCTTTGTTTTTTATTGATGTTTTCATTTGCATTCAGCAATTACTGAGAATAAACGCCAGTCTGTCAGAAATCACACCACAGAAAAACACAGCTTGTCATATCATTGGCTCCACTACAGTCTTCTCTTTCCAACAAAAAAATTTAGAACATTAGTCTTAAAGAAACAGTGGCAGTGAAATGAACATAGATATCATGTTGCCATATGGCAACACAATGCGAGGGTTAAGTATGTATATTGCAAACTACAGAAAATGAGGCAGTAATGTTAATCACACTTACATGTTACGATCAGAGGAAAAATAAAACTGGTCCATATAAACTGTAACAGTTACTGACAAAGTCCCATGAATAAAAGTCTCTGCTAATCCTTCCTTTAATAGCAAATGGCCAGCAAATCCAGTGCTGCAGCGTAAATTATTGTATTAATCCTCAGAAAAATTACAGGAACAAACACAGGTTGGCTACACTATGGTATTGTTGTGAAAATGAACCCTTTTATTCCACAGAGTCGAATCTCCATTTGTCAGGGATTGGCATCCTCATGTCATGAAGGGAAAGGTGAATTCACGTTTTACTCGATCTAGCACTTCATAATTGGTGATGTACTGTATCAACGTCGATGCGATCATGCAAAAGATCTGAACCCAACTCGATTTATTTATTCAACTCTAAATTGACCATTTTGTTATAGAATCTATAGTTTTAAACTTTCAGACTTAAACACTTTCAGATGTTTTCATTCACTTAGAGCTGTGTTACACACCACATGGGAGGACTTATAGGGGAGGACTTATATAAAAACCTATAATAGGGGCTCTTTAATAAACTGTCTATCAAAGATTTACATTAGATTTATAGAAAAAAGCTATTTTTTTGCAGGCTACTGCACAATCCCAAACATACATCACATGACACTGCTTGTTGCTATGGCAATCGGTGTATCTAATGAGAGTTGTGGTGATGACTTTTGTTTAGAAATTATTCTGGCATATTGTGTGTTACATTTCACGGTAATGTGTGGAGACAGACTTTTGAAGTCCTTGATGATATGACTGGCATGGGAATTATCTATAAATATATCACATACTTGTCATCAACTCACTCATCTGATGTTTTCCAGGTTGTGAAAAAAAAAAGAGTAAGGCTGAATAATTTCAATGCAGAACACTGTGTGACTGCACCATCGGCTGTTATGCAAGACATTTAGGAACTTTGAAACAGAAAAGGAGAAGGTGCTATTTTCATATAATTTTGTTTTTCTTTCTGTATAATATTCCCATCTTCTGTGTTCGCAGCGGTATCTCAAAAAACTGCACAGAATACAGGTTACATTTCCCTGTCTGCCTCATTGAGATGCATATTCCAGTGGAGAAATCAACAGTGCCAACATCCAAAAAATCCTCTCTCCAAACATGTGTTTGACGAGTATTCTGACACCTTGTTTTTCATTGTGTCCATTAACCAGCTGCACATTTCAACAAGGTCCTGCTTTTGTCTCAGTGATGCACATTATATAACAATTGTGATGGTATAATTTGTCCTTGTAATTTTAGCATTAAACAATGTAATGTTTAACAGGTGCAGCTGTAATATACAGTAACATTCATTAGATGTATGTTTTGCTGTCAGGAAACCATTCAGAGACAACACATACAGGGTTTTTAGTCAAACCACATTTCCAGACCAACCTCCATTAGTACATACTTTTGAATCTTGATTTTATATACAGCATTGCAAGCATAGTAAGATGCCAAGAGGATATTTTACAAAAATGAAAAGTGTTTCAAAGCATCATAGAAAACAAAGTTGTATAGCAGCAATAAAGTGTGCACTTTGCCAGGTGTACAATACAAAAAGAGACAACCAAATTTCTTTTAGAAATGAGGTCAAACAAATACCAGATTCCTGGTTCACCAAAATGACAGACATAAATGTCAGTGGCAATGACCTGTGATGGTTTGGACACTTGCCGTTTTGCTCATGTGGATGTGTTTCTTGGCTCACTCCCCATACACAAGCGTTCGATAGCTCGATCGCTGACGCCCTCATTTTAAGGCAGAGCTCTTGTTCGGCGACTCTTTTACAATGAATGCATGAGTCTGAAAAGGTCCTCAGGCACTGTCCCTCATGTCAGGGCACAAACTGTTGAGTGTTTGTGAAACTCACTGGCAAAATGCCCTTCCTGTTACACTGCAAACTATTTTATGCTAATTCAGATTCGAAGTCATGATGCTTCTCATTTAAATAGCAACAGACCAAGACCTGCTACATTCACCCTGTAAACACACCAGCAAAAGACCAGCGAGCTTTTTAGCTGGCAATCATTCAGTGTTGGTTAATAAGTGAACCTGTTGAGCAGGCAGTCTAAAAAAGAAATGCTAGTCATTTTACAGCTAGGATAGAAGAGGGAAATTGAGCAGGCCATTTTAATAAAATGGCATCATTTTACCATTAAAATGAAAGATGCAGAGTTGCCTCTGCAAGCCTCCCCTATTCAGGCACTTCAGTCTGTTTGAAATGTGGTTCAGACTCATGGCCTTTTTCTTGGGATTATCCATTTGAGTTGTGGCCTTGACATTAAGTGTAATTTTACATGAACCTCGGGGTGTATTCCTCAGGTTAAACAGGGCGAATGCAATCAGCTCAAACATCCGAGAATGACACTGGGCTTAATTTGGGATCCAGTGAGATGGCATTTCATTTCTCATCTTATTAGGTCAAAACCAAGTCCACAAAATGGCCTTTTTGTGTTTGTGGCACACGATGTCTGGATTTTAACCCTTCCAGCTGAGACTGCCTGTCTGGCTCGATTATTGTCTTAAATTTCATGAGAAAGAAAAGCAGAGCACATCCTTGCCTATATGATGAAAGAGAAGACAGGAGATGAAAGATGAACTCATGGTGTCCTCTCAGCAGTACCGCAGTCAAAGAGAAGAGAAAAATCAGCCTTTCATGAGCACCAAGTCATCTGAGTGCAGAGTATCTTTGAATGGACTCCATCATTAGGCAACTATAGATCGTACATCACCTGCAGAGAAAAACAGACAAACAATGGTCACATTTATTGCATTTATAACAGCCTGAATGTTCTCTTCGCAGCGTGACTGAAACCTTCTGTTATAAAAATGGACAAAGCAAGGCCTATCAGAAAAATCTGCTGATACCAAATGATGAAATAAGAAACGTGACAATTTAGAAAAGAACATCTGTACAATTGCCTTAGCTATAATTATGTTTGTTACTACAGCATCTGCAAACACACTTTAATGGTGTGGAATTTCAGTATGAAGTCATGCACAGATCCTGTTGAATAATGCCATTTTGTCAGATCCATTACTCATTATTTAATTGAACCATCTGTTCATTCTTTTTGCTTTCCTGTTGCTTACACAGCAGAGCACAGCACTAACGATGTCAAGGATGCAGGTTTAACTCACTGGAAGGAAGGGATGGATGAATAGAGGAATAGATATTAGATGGATAGATAGTATGTCAGATCTGTTACCGACAATGCTAACAAATGATATGGATTTTCCTCAAACAGTAAATATTTCCAAACAATTGTTTACATGCAGTAACAGAAACAAATTGATCTGTGTTGGTTTTTAGCAACTACTACCTGTACTAGTTTACTGTACACGCATATAAAAAAGGGCATTTTACTGTAAATGCATAAACAAGCATTACACACAGGTGTGCAGATATAAGTATCAATACAATCTAGAATAAGTATCAATATTCTTACAGTAGCATCAATACATTTGATTAATATCAATGATTCCTATCAATGCGTTATAATTTATTATGCTAATTTGGTGGTCAGAAACATTTCTTATTGCAATATTGTTTTATTTGATATAAGAAAAAATTATTCTATATTATTATGCACACAGAACTCTCCACAGACCCACACACACATGGGTTTATTTTTGTTAATTCATTTAGGGCTTAGTCTCTTTGCTCATAAAGGGTTACCACAGCAGAATGAACCACCAACTTATACAGCATATGTTTTACACAGCGGATGACCTTCCAGCTGCAACCCAATACTGTGAAGTATTCAGACACACTCATTCACACTCATACACTATGGACAATTTAGTTTATTCAGTTCACTGATACTGCATGTCTATGGGCTGTGAGGGAAAACTGGAGCACCCAGAGCAAAGCCACGCCAACACAGGGAGAACATGCAAACTCAACAAAGAAATGCCAGCTGACCCAGTTAGGACTCAAACCAGAGACCTTCTTGCTGTGAATTGACAGTGCTAACCACTGTGCCCAGTTTATTTATGTGAATAGTGTAATTTTATTGACATTCCATAGGTGTAATTTTTATTTTTTTAACACTTTACTAACTATATTTTCTATGATCCTTCACCAAGCCTACACCAACAGCTGAAATGTACTTTATCAAAAAAAAAAAAAAAAAAAAAAAACGTATGATTTATAAGCTTTTTCAAAAATGGGGCAATGTCCTCATAACCAATCTTCACCTTCTAATACCTACAGTATATCATACCCATGTCATAATACAAATTTGTCTTCATACGTCACAAAGGGCCTTTTAACACCTGTTAAATTCATCCTTTTTTTCTGATTTGATCAGGTGATTTCTGAAAATGGTTCCATTTACACTAGACCACATGAATGTGTCTCTGCTCCATGATTCCAATTTTCAGATCCCACCCTATATGCAAATTTAACTAGGTTAAGTCAACAAAAAGCAACAGATACACAGCATTTTCTAATAATTAATATTACTATTTACAGAAAAGTAAACTACAGTTTAAGTCAGAATTATTAGCCCCCATTTTATTTATTTATTTATTTTTTAATATTTCCCAAATGATGTTTAACAGAGCAAGGAAAGTTTTATATTTTTAATAAACATTTTAAGTCCAAAATTATTTACCCCTTTAAGGTATATATTTTTGTATAATCTACAGAACAAACCATCATTACACAATGACTTGCCTACTTGCCCTAATCTGCCTAGTTAACCTAATAAACCTAGTTAAGCCTTTAAATGTCACTTTAAGCTGTGTAGAAATGTCTATAATAATATTTAGTAAAATATTATGTACTGTCATCATGGCGAAAATAAAAATTAATTAGCTTTTAGAAATGAGTTATTACAACTATCATATTTAGAAATGTGTTGAAAATTTTTTTCCCTTCATTAAATAGAAATTAAGGGAAAAAAAATGAACAGGGGGGCTAATCATTCTGACTTCAGCTGTATATATGTTGTTTGGCATTCAAATTATTTTATGTGCATGCTGTAAAGCAGGGATCACTAAACTTGTTCCTAGAGAGCTGGTGTCCTGCACATTTTAGCTCCAACCCTAATCAAACACCTGAACAAGCTAATCAAGGTCTTACTCAGTATATTTGAAACACCCAGGCAGGTGTGTTGAGGTAAGTTGTAGCTAAACCCTGCAGGGCACCGGACCTCCAGAAACGAGATTGGTGACCCTTGCTGTAAAGCATCATTACAAGTGCACAAGGCAGACTCTGTGATTACTTTTAGTATAGGCTAAAAGAAACATCTATTTTTGTCATATAGATATGTGCAAGACATCATTCAAATCTAGTGTATAACACACTCTCCCAAAAATAAAAACAACAACATGACATTGTAAATGAACGCAGCACTATACCGCTTTTGAACTTTGAAAATCTGCATTTAATCAAAGAAACATAATGGAAACTTGAGTAATTAATCAATGTGATGAGTACTTAACAAAAAAGTAAATGCGTGGTAAAGTTGTGGTATTCTTTTTGAATCGCCCTGTATTTTTATTCTTCTCTTTTTACAGAAGATACTGGTGGTATCTCTGTTGTTAATTCCACCATCTGATATTATTTAACAATTTAATTTCAGAATTTCATGGTCAAGAATAAAACAAAACAAAAACAGGAGGAGTAAAATTTAAATGTGTGGTTTAATAACCAGATGCATTTAGACATGTTTAGTTTGGCCTAGAAACCATCTCCTTCTCCCTCGATTGGATTTATATCTCAAATGTGTGTCAGAGGGTATTTACAACTGCACATTTCTTGATTGAGATAGCTTTCTGATCTAAAAAAAGAAAAACGGATGAAGTGACCTGGTGTAAACATCCCTAAACACACACACACGCACGCACGCAAGCACGCACGCACGCACGCACGCACACACACACACAGGCATACACACATACCTTCTCCAAATCTTCCATGATCAGATCCTGTTCTTTCATGTTCTCTTTCCCTGAAGACTGGCTTCTTTCACCCAAACCCTTCCCATTGCTCACAGACACCAGCCCCTGGATGAGTCCTTGTCCTGGTCTGGGAGCTCCAGTCTCCAGTGCTGTTTGCTTGGTTAGTGGTAAATTGGCTGGTAAAACAGCATTGCCCTGCAGTCGGTGCGAGTAAGTCCTCCTATTGCCTGAATGCCCTGAGCACAGCTGCAGTTTAAAAGCTGCCTTGAAACCTTTGCGAAAGTTCTCATTGAAAAAGCCATATATTATAGGATTGACGCTGCTATTACAGAATGCCAGCCAGTGGGCCAGAGGATAAAAATAGATATTAATGACCCGATGCTGGCGCTCGCTCAAACTCGCATAGTCGCTCAGCATCATGAGTGCCCACAATGGCAGCCAAGACAGGATGAAGAGCAGGGCGACCACCAGCAACATTTTAATCACCCGCTTCTTCTTCCGGGACACCAGTTGGCGACTTTCATATCTGCACTGTTTCCCCGAGCCAGAACCGGAGCCTGAGGTGCCAACTTGGCTCACTGGGGCCGGCATGGATGTTTTGAAGAGTGTGATTCCAATCCGGGCGTACATTATGACAATGAGGGTTAGAGGTGCCAAATAAATGTTAGCGAAGAGTACCGTGGTGTAGATCTTGCGCATCTCTTGGTTGGGCCAGTTTTCACGACACCAGTAGAAGGGCTGCGTAGTGTTGCCATCGCTTAGCAGGATGGAGACTCTGTGCTCTTTGGTGACCTGTAGCATTACACCTGACGGACACATGATGGAGATGGCCAGAACCCAGATGATGATGATGATGAGGGTGGAGGTGGAGATGGTGAGCTTCTGTTTGAAGGGATAGACAATGCAGCGGAATCTGACATATTAATAGAAAACAAGAGAAATGGAGAACAGAAAAAAGATGGATGACAGAAAACAGAGCCGAGAAGATTGAGTCAGAGACAGAAAATAAGCATTTGAAGGAAGATGTTTTATTACAACAAACTGAGAAGATAGATATCACTCTGTCATTAAAAATAAACTGTGAGTCCCCTCTGAATAATCAGATGTCTGTCAATAACAACTATGACACTGCTGAGGTTCAAAATGGTAAATAAGATTAATTACTCAGATCTTATTCTGTCTGTAAATGTTAATTGCACCTCCAAAAACTTTGCAGACTCCCTAAAATTTTAAAGATTTGAAATGCAAGGCAGTAGTTTATTTTTAATGACAGGCATGAGTGCTATTAAATCTTTATCTGTTCTTTACATTTCACAATCAATTCTTGTAAGTTATGCAAAACTCATTAGACTGAAGGATTTGGCAATAAAAAAAACCTTTAGTCTTCTGATTCAATTAAGATTATTTTTCATTTTACAATTTGTTCATGAAGCCAGCACGTTATGCTATAAAACAAACCCCTAGGCCCAGTTTCACAAACAGGGCTTAGATTATAGATTATACTTAGAAAAATATTTAACTGGTGTACACCTACACGCAAACAAATAAAATAAAAATAAAATAAAATAAAATTAGACTGATGTATTTCAAGCCATCTTACCGCAAGTTTTTTTTTGAGTTAAGACAGTTCAAACATGCAATTTAATCTTGAATAGTGTAAGGATGGCTATGTCTCTCCATAATATTAAACCATGAAAACTGTTATGGAACTCCACACGAGACAAGACCATGAGAATGGTCAGGCACTGAAACAATAAACTTTCGAATATGAGAAGAAGATCAGCTAGAAAACCAGTTGTTCAGGTTGTCTCAATCATGCATCCTGAGCTCCCTCTTTGCCCTGGACTTTACCTTCTCTACCAGAGCAGCTCACTCACATTCCACACAGAATGTTTAAGTTTTTAATATGGTGTATCTTGTGGCTTTATATTCATGTTTGGTATCATTTTAAATGTCTCTGTGTGATTGGTAAAGTGGTCATAATTTCAATGTAATATTTTACAATCTCTCTTATATTAGTTAATTTGGGTTTTGATTTTGATAAGATCTTTGCCAGATGCTTCACTCCTGAGAAAATAGTCTTCACATCAACTCACGACCAGGCAAGAGTCTTGGTGAAGCTTTTATTGTCTTGAATTTATGATGGTTTGAGTATTTAGGCAAAGTGCAGGTGCAGAAGTGTCTGTGGGATCCTGTAGACAGGATACCTCAATGCAGTTTGTAAGTGTCTGAGCTCTGCATCAGGACTAATATGCTTCAATGTATTTCTACATGGTCAGGTATTCATCTCTAACTCTTAAATGTATCTGTGAGTAATTGATGTTGTACAATCTTGATTGGCTTATTTTGTTTAATTATGTGAACTGGAATGGAATATACGTATTTGCCTGACCAATAAATGTAAAATTCATGTTTAACTCTACTATCTCCTGAAATCATTTAAATCTAGATTGTTTTGGCTGATGTTTCCGCAGCCTACGACCAGGATTAGTCATACATTCAGGCTCAATGGATGGAGCATAGGCACAGCATTAGAGAACTGTTGATTTCTGACAATCACTGACTTAATATATAATCTAGGGGCTAAATCAAACTTTCTTAAAGTATGAGCAAGCATAGGGTGGCCTATTATTACTTAAAGGAAATTAGCTTATCTTCTAAAAATCAGAACTGGCGAGGATGTGTCCGTGAGCAGATGAAACTGGCCAGCATACTGACTCGAAGCGACTTTGGGTCAACAATGAACCATTAACTAAAAAATAAGGATTTATTAGGTTAATCAATCAAAATTAGACCTAATCACAACATATAAGATAATCAGCTTGAATTAGATTAATCTAAATCCTAAATTATTATATATTGGAGTCAGACCAACTTAATCTTACTTAACCTAATGAACCTAGCTTTTAAATGTTCCTTAAAGCTGTATGGAAATGTCTTGAGAAATATCTAGTCAAATATTATTTACTGTCATCATGGCAAAGATAAAATAAATCAGTTATTAGAAATGAATTATTAAAACTATTATGTTTAGAAAAGTTTAAAAAAAATCTTCTCTCAGTTAAAATACAAAAAATTAATGGGGCCTAATAAATCAGACTTCAAATATGTGCAGGACAAAATCACTTGGATTCCGATTTAAACAAATCAGGTTTGTGTAAATATGACGCCTTGTTCATATGTGGAAATTTATCTGATATGAATTGGATCCACTTTTTTATTATCAGCTGTCAGTCAGCGCCTGCTCTTTTTTTCCTGGTCATTTTGCCTTGTCATTGGGTGCAGTGTAAATACAGACAATCAGATAGGAGTAACTTTTAAAAGATGATGTAAGCGGGTCATTAAAAAATCGGATACAGTGGCGAATTAACGGGAAATGTCTGTCCAGATCTGCAGTGTAAATGTGGCCTATGAGTTTCTTTCTTCTGTAGAACACAAAAAAAGGTATTTTGAAGAATAAAGGTTACTGGCGCCCACTGACTTCTATACTGTAGCAGTGAAGAAAATTGTATCGATGTCAACAGCTGCCAGCTACCAGCATTTTTCAAAATAGCTTATTTTGTGTTCAACAGAAGAAAGAAACTCATAAAGTTTTTGAACAAGTGAAGTGAGAGTAAATGATGACATTTTCTTTTAAGGTCTGTGTCAATCAGTGTCAGGAGTAATCGGTATCAAGACATAAGAATAGGTTCTGTGTTTTGAGTTTCTCACTGTGCATTCATATTGTAAATGTGTTCAGAATACACCACAAGCCAATAATGTTGTAAACACGTATAGGGGTCCAAACAAACTGGGAAAGCCACAAAATAGTGGGCATGAATATCTGAACCTAACAATCATATTAGTGGACATGTTCTTCAGTTTCAGCCATAGGTAACACAATTCAGCAGGAGTAAAACTGACAATTGGAACTTTACATTTTTTAACTTTGACCTTTAATTTTGTAAAAAAAGGACAAGTTTTAAAATAACCTTAAAGAAAAATAAAATATTTAAAATGCATTTTATGACCTTACATACAGTATCTTAATTTAAAATATCTATACCAGAGATGCCCAAAGTAGGGCCCGCTGGTAACCTTTGATTTGGCCATCCCATCTGAAAAGAGAGACAGAATGATGGTGGTTGGGGCGAAATTTATTATAAACTTTTGTTTCTTTGTTTTATTGCTGAGCTACAAAAAAAGCTAATTTAAATTAAATGGTCAATTAGACACTGTAAATGATTCGGATTTTTAAAATGTATACTGTCAGCAAACTGCACAAGACATCTGTGAGTGAATCAAAGTAAGCTTGACTAGTGTATATTCAGCATTGAACCTGTTATAAATGGGATTGTTTATGTTTTACTATAATATGTTCATTATACAATGATTAAAATAATACTGCATTAGTCAATATGATTTAAAGCAGTGTTTTCTAGTTCATTTTAAATATTACAGAATAAATTAGAAAATGACCCATGGAAAATGTAATGTATACGGTTTGGTATATATTCAGCCTACACCCCTCACTCAAGTTTGCTTTTTGGCCCTTTATATGAAAAAAAATTGGGCACCCCTGATTTATACCCTAAAATTATATTTAAAAAGAATGGCTTATTTAAAGAATAATAATATAATTAATAATTGTAGCACAACAGACATCTTACAGAAAAACCAAAACATGTTAACAGTAGTGCAAATACAGTGATTATGTGGGTGGTATTGACTCTTGAGATTTATTGAAATAAAATGTCTTGAGCACACTAATATTTGGCTCACCTGTCCACAGCAATGGCCACTAGTGTAAATACTGATGCGGATACTGATATTCCTTGCACCATCCCACTCAGCTTACACACCAAACTGCCAAAAGGCCAGCCTGCAGGAGAAACATGAAAAATTATTCATGAAATGCACACAATCATATGCACACACAAACTACTTTTTCGAAAAAGACCCTTTCCCAAATCTTTTACGACTCTTTGTACTGACATCAACTGTTTGGGCCTCTTCAGTCAGAATTTACCGATAGATAAAAAAATAGATTTACTTTTTTAAATGTTGAAATTATTGCTTTAGTAGAATGGGATGATGGCTATGTGAACACACACACATACACATTTTTAAGGGTAAGAAAAATAACCCCTTGTAGTTTTAAGATCAAAACTGCTGATTGTTCATACCTCAAGCTCTCAAGGCTTTATAAAGATTACAGATAAAATGGTTTTGTTTTATAGCAAAAAGAATAACATCTCCAAAAGCTCTGCTCATCTTAATCATAATTAACATGGGGACATGTGTCACTTCTCATTCTTATATAAATACATCATGAGAACTAAGTGTCAGTGAAGGAAATATCCCAAAGCAAATATTACATCCTACTGTCTTGAAACTAGGATAAAGGTCATATAAGTACTTCAGTTCAGTTCATTGATTTATATGCAACAGCTAGTCCTCAAATTTGGTCTTAAAATTTTCATTCTTTTTTTAAAATCATTGCTTGTTGTTTTTTAATAAACACTAACAAAAACAAAAAAAGGGCAAAGACAAGGATACCAGTAGACACAAGTATAGCAGCAAAAGTCATAAATAAATAAATAAATAAATAAATAAATAAATAAAAATACAAACAGAATACAAAAAAAATCACAAGTCAAAGGTTAATTAGAGGCATACATATTTTTTGAAAGACATCCTCTTTCTTAAGTAGTATGCATATAGTTCCAAGAGAATTGTTTCATTCAAGAGATGTATAAACAGTTCAAATGTTGTCTTTGTTGGTTCCAGTTGAGCAAAATGCTTTTTTTTTTTGTTTTTGTTTTTTGCTAAATAGAAAATAATGCCGAGTCTCTTTATAGAAGTAGGTTCAAGTGTCTTGTTCCGTTCTGTACCAAAAAGGTATAGTGTTAGTGTGTTGTCCAATGGAGTTTGCAAAGCTTTGACTGTAAAGTCCTGTACTGTTTTCCAGAAAATTTGTAGCTTTTTGCATTCCCAAAAAACATGCACAATTGATTCTGAATAGGTTTTACATCTGTGATACCTGGATGATACATTGGAGTATATAAGGTGTATATTTTGCTCAATTGAAGAGGAGTCAGATACATCCTATACATAAATTTATAATTTAGTTTGGTCCTAAATCTTTAATGTTTTTGCTGTTAAATAAATTTTCTTGATTAAATAAATAAATAAATAAAAATGCATTTTTCCATTTATAAACATATGAAAGGTTTTGAATTGTTTTTGAAGATTGTAAATCAGCTAGGCTAAAAATGAAAGATTGTATGACTTCAATCTTAGGAACCACACCAGGAAACCTAAATGAGACAAGAACAACTAACACCCTACACATTCTTATTACTGATGAGCAAGAACCGAGAGAGCCAAGAGCTTAAAAACTTAAGGACTGACAATCAATATACCAAGAAACAGCTATGTTTCCATCCAAAGATGCCAATCAGACTTATTCGCAAAACTGGAATACCACATAAAACATTTGCAAATAAAGCACTGTTTTCATTCAATGAGTCAAAAAGAACAAAATTGGAAACTGGCAACAAATATCAAAAAGAAAAATAGAATTTGCTTTAAATTGGGAGGTTAAGGAGTGCAGCCGCTCAAGACAATTCTGGTGGTAATAATATTGAACTACTTTGATGACAATAATTTTTAGAATGTCCAATAATACCATGCATATTCATTGTGCATATTAATTTTTAATGCAATATTCCAAAATGTACATAGAAATAGGTGGATTGAAACATAATAAAACATAAAACCACACCATGCAACTCATGTTCCCACCTTGTTTTTCTTCATCCTTTTCTTCTTTAACAATTTATGCAACTTGACAGACAGACTTCATAATCTGACCTTGCTTATCTCTTTTTTTTTCTTCCACTCCATTTTTCTTTCTAATTTACTCTCTTTTTCCCTCATTGACACCACTTTACCACAATTCCCTTGCCTTTTCAGGCTTCCAAAGTGTAGTAGCTGCACTTTTTAGTGTGTTGAGTGGTGTTAGCTGAGAGGATTAGAAAGAAGAACGAAGCTCTGTCACTCAGGGACCTATTGTTTTTGTTCACCTCTTGCAAGAGTAAACCCAGAAGATCCTTTTAAGAGCCTGATTAAATTCGGAGATATTGTGCAGCAGCTGGCCGACGTGTGGGTGTGAATAATGATTTGACAGACCAAGAGGGTTTTAAAAAGACAGATGGTGAAAGAGAAAATGAGTTTAAAGAACAGGGAAAATAGGAGGGAAAAGAAGAATTGGAAAGAGACAGCAAGAGAGAGAAAGATATCGAAATAGTGTGCCAAACAACCACCGAATGAACAAATGAATTAATTAGGAAAATGGAAGACAAAAAAAATGTACAGACAAATTCAGTAGCTGATTCTGTATTAAAGATTAATTACCCTCAAACAGAGAACGAAAACCATTTAGAATGCCTTAAACGTATTATTGAAACTGCAAAGAAATAATAATACATAATAAAATAATAATAATAATAATAACAATAAATAAAAGTTGTAGGTGTAATTCTCATTCCTCTGTTTTGCGAGTTTTTCATTCTTCAGTAAGCTCTCATGGCTCTAAAGGTTACAGAATGAATGTTGTTTTGTTCCAGCAAGAGAAAGAACAAGAAATAAAGAAAATGTTCTCCTTTTTAATAGCAATAAACATGGGGAGAAATTTAATTTCTTACTCTTATAATTATATGTCATGAGGACTTTTTGAGGAAAATTTACCACAGCAAATCATCACATATTCACTTTATTCACATATTCTTATTAAATGACAACTTATCTACATTATGGGATGTTTTGCATACAAGTTTTGGTTTTAAGATTTTTTATTAAAAAAAAAAAAAGATTTTATGTACAAGGTCGAACTCTAGCTTGGCTCTATTTGGTTCTTTCTGTGAACCAATGAGCATTTCAAATGCAAGCACAAGGAGAAGACACCTGAAAAGATGTGTAAAATGTGATGATTTATAAACATTTTTGATATTAAGAAGAAATGTTCATTTTTACACTGTTGAAAAAGAAACAGTTATTAAAAATGTAGCATATCAATTGTGAAATATTTTTATTTGTGTAAATATAGTCAGTGAAACATTTTCAGTGTTTATTAAACTTTGTTAAACAACTCATTAGCTCACTGTCTGTTTTATTTTAAAGTCTTTGAAATCAATCCTTGAAGGGCAGATTTAATAGAACATTTAATTGAATAAATATAATTTAATAATTTGTATAAAGTATAAAAAGAAAAAAATCCTAAAACATTAAATCATTATTATAAAAAGCAAAAAATTACTTTCTCAAGCATCAACATATTGTAACAACGCCACTTACTATTTCTGGGATTGTATTTCTTAAAAAGTACTGCTTCAATGAATTATCAGCCAGACAGAATCTTAAAATTTCAAGTGGAAAATGACTTTAGAATTAGAAGGTTCAATCTGCATTTGTCCTGTTTTGTTTTGTTTTTAGATAATGTACAACTAGAGTACATTTAGGGTCTCTGTCATGTTGATGTATGAAAGAGAACCGTTACAGACATATTGTTTGCTATATGGCATGCAAAATCTTTGAAGCTCAATAGCTCAGAATAATTTAAAACGCAGACATAACCTCATAATTCCAAGGCGAATAAATATTAATTAATAGTCCCTGCGCAGATATAGTGAATAGCATATAGTGAATATTATTTATAGTTAGCTCCAGTTCTCAATTTTGCCTATTGGTATCACTCTACTTGTTTGCTTGTATTATTCATGACAGAATGTCAGTGTCGCACTACAAATGCACTTTCAAAAACACAGAAGACGCTTTTTGATCCACATGTTTCCTCTGCAATTTTTCATGATCCATATATCTAAGCAAACCAAACCCCTCATCTAAACTGTACATAAATCGTCTTTTAGAATAAACCTTGTTTGATAATAGGATTGATTAAATTAAGTGCTATGGTTGACTGGGGCTATGAAGTGCTCTGCCACTGCCTTGAATGCTGAAAGTATGAATAGACAGCTATTTACAGCAGCAATACTGTCAGCTTATTACAGGAAGACAGGTGAAATCACTGAAAACACTGTGAAAACACACAGGAAAGAACATCAAATCAACCTATTATTTTACAGCATGTGCTGTACAAATTTAACCCTAAAGGACAGGTTTCCTCACTCAGGCTTTTCAATTGATACAGCAAACAGCCCACAAACATACCCCAAAAATACAGGATTATTCTCAACAAACAGAACAGAGAAGTGAAGGTGAAGTGAGTATTGTCAAGTTTGATTACCCATGCCCAAAATTAGTCTTCTGCTTTTGACCCATTCAAGTGAAAGCACACGCGCACACACACACACTGAGCAGTGGGCAGCTATAATGGGCAGTGGGCACCCAGGGAGCAATTAGTGGTTAGGGTACCTCAGCTCAAGGGCACCTCAGCTGGGTATCAAAGATGGAGAGAGTGCAGTTCATCCACTCCCTTTCATTTTTAATTCCTGCCGGGACTGTGAATTGAACCTGCAACCTTTTGATTAGGCTACAAATTTAACTCCCCATCCCCATCCACCAAATTGGCTCTATGACCGTCTCTTACCTCTACCTGCACTGGTGTGTTATGAGAGCACTGGCACCACCGTCCTGTCCCCTGGATTTGTCACAGGTGTCAAATGCAGATTCTGGAGGGTCGCAGCTCTGCAGTTTAGTTCCGACCATAATTAAACACACCTGATCAACTAACTGAATCCCTCAGTTCTGTTTAAAAACCTACAGGTGAGTGTGTTGAAGCAGAGTGGGAACTAAACTGTGCAGAGCTGCAGCCCTCCAGTAACTGCACCTGTGATCAAGACAGATGCTGCACACTAGTGG